GGCATCGCATCATACTATATCACTGTTGTGAGGTGGCGACAAGGCAAAGCAAACGTAGCCGATGTTTTACCTGATGGGTACAATGTTGCTGTTGAGGGGTTGCTGCTGCTGCTGATAGTGCTGGAGGGCAGGGCTGTGTTGATCTGAGACTGTAGACATTAAAAAGTCCAGGAGAGATGGTAGCTGATTAAACAAGTGTCATGAGATAATAACAAAATGCAAAGATTGGTGACAGCGCTTGGAACCATAAGGCAACAAAAAACTGTGAGAAATAATTTAGGCTCTGCCTGTGAATCACTCTTTGCTTCTCTTCTTCCTTCCATCCATTTCATATATCACTCTCCACTTGCTGTCTATCTGAGAACAAGGCACAACTTGCTATTGCAATAAACTATAATCTAATTATCCACACCTAACAACTCTTGCACTTAATCTATAATAAAATGATGACAGAAAAATGTTATAGCACTGCCTTTAGTAGCCTCACACAGCTCCTACTGTTTCCTCCTCATGTCCTTACCAGCCATGTCTGCGACAATGTTATATCATGAGTAATAATTAAAAAATCTATATACATAAAACATTAGATGCACTCATCATCAGAAAGGTTGCCGACCCCTGCTCTAGAAAGACTCATGCATACTGTACCTGTAATCTCATTGAGTCAGTTAATGCTGGTGATGTGTGACTGTGTGATCTGAATCTGTATTGATTGTCAGAGAGTAATTTATGTTTATCTCAGAACTTTTCTAATAACATATTTCTAGTGATGTGTATCTGCAGTTACAGCACAACATGACTCATTTCCTGTTGATGCGATGCAGATGTTGATTAGCGGTTTTGAGATCTCTTCCATGACCTGCTCAATAATTAACAACTGTTATAGTGACATTATTACAATCAGTGGATATTTTCTATTCACACCTGTTTACAATACAGTTATTTCCACATTTATCATTATTTTTTCCAAATATATCTGCTCACTCCATCATGTCATAGGAAGAGGGAAACATTGCCTCTGTTGATGAATCCAAACCCATGATGTCATCCTCGTAGCTGACATCATTTTTAACCCTTTGCTTATTTTATTTTTAAAAATCTTTTATTATTATTTATTTTTTATTTATTCCTATTTCACAGCCTTATATCAAACACATGAGCTGTATTTCAAGCACTGAATTTACACTGTAATGATGTGTTTGTTTGATGGTGCAGTAGCTGGTGTGCAGATAGTTCCCTCATCACTTCCGCCAACGTGAACAGGAAAAACATGTCAGTAGGACACAGAGGGAGGACCGGGGGGCGTGGGGGGTCGTCACTCCTATGAATATGGTGGGGGTTGTTTTTTATGTTTAACTGAGAAATGATCCTCCAAAATAAATGATGTCATGTTACAGCAGCAGCTGTGTTTCGTTTTTATTTAATACTTATTTCATCCTTTCATTTATCTTTCTTCATCGGTTTGTTCATTTATTTATTTTAATTTCAAAATGTGTGTCATTGCTACAGTGCTGCACTTCCGGCTCAACTGCTGGTTCGGGATCGGTTTCCTGTAGTAAGGCGCAAGTGTTCCCGCCACAGACTGACCTCAGATCAGCTGTTGGGGTTAGCCTCTGCCTCCCCATCTTCTCCAATCACAGCTCCGTCCTGTCTGTGCCAAGTGTTGAGCTCGACAGAGGTGGGAGGGAGAGGGGGGTTTAAAGGAAGTCGTACCACTTGGTCTTCAAAATAAGAGTCTGGAACTGAACCCTCAGGGTAACCTTACAAAAATGGAGGAAAAAGAAATGCCAAATATTACCACATAAAGCATGATGATGTATCAACTCTTTCAATAATATTCTTGCTAATAACTTGTTGTGTGATTTGTGCAACCGTGTAGGTTTAAGCAGCCCTGTCCTGACCGAACTTGTTCCATACATGCATCACGTAGAGTAAACACTCCTGTTTTGTAGCGTTAGTTAGTCCCTCTGTCTCTGCAAACCTTCCGTTTGTGTTGTTGGCCGCAGAACTCAGTAACTCAGCTTAGGCTTTGTTGCTGTATATTCAATCTAATCCATCAAACACACACACACACACACACACACACACACACACACACACACACACACACACACACACACACACTGAATAAATACTCGATTAAGAGTTTTGCTGTGAAGTGTCGAGCAGGAAGCAGTCCGAGTGCCTCTCGGGCGCTTGGTTCGGCCACTTTCGTTTGTGGTATCCGTCCCAGCCTGCTCCCGGCGAAGCACGGAGACACACGGGATTAGGAGCAGCAGATGCTCCGGTCCTCGGAGCGCAGGACGTCCCCGGTCACACCGACGTGTCTACCTGTGCCTGTGGAAGCTCCCGTTATCAGCAGCGAGGGAGGCGCATTACAGGGAGGCTCAGCACGCTGCATCAGCGGGACTCTTTATTCTAAAGCAGCAGGTTTAATGGGGCCTGTCAGTCTTAGTTAGTCAGGCAGTCTGGTGGAGCCGGCCCGATGTGATTGGGTGGAGGTGGTGGTCACTCTGGCTGCTGGTGTCATGGTTCCAGTCGGAGATGGGCCCGAGCTCTTGTTCTGCGGCGCAAACAGCGCAGTGATACGCAGTGATGCGGATCTCTTGCTGTAAATCCACCTGCAGCCACCGTAAGGGCTGCTGTTCCTAATAATGTGCCTTTAATGCTTCCGCAGGGCTCTGCGTGTATGGCCGGCTCCCGGTGCCGTGGAACTGCGGCATCCATCAAACGTGGGGGATGACGGAAGGAACCGAGCCTCCTCTCTCACCCACACGCTGAGGAGGCGTTCATGGGCAGCGGGAATTCCAAACACTGCGTGACTTGAAAGAGTTGAAACTTTGTCAGGCAGGAGCTGGTGGGGCAGCATGGGGGGCTGATGAACAGATGAGACGTTTGGCTCAGTAACGGAAGAAGGACATAAACTGAGCAGTAACCTACAGCACATACTGGGGCGACCACAGCAGCGCCGTGGTTAAACAATACTGTTGGCTCATTGGTCTCTGTGACACTATGATGGTGGGAGGCACCATCACCTCGTACCCGAGGACTGCGGTGGTCTGAGAATCAGGGTTCCAGAGCATCTGGAGAACTGTCAGCACTATGGACTACCACTCCGAGTGCTGCTTCTGTGACCCTGAGGAGGGTCACGGCAGCCTCGATGAGCCAGCTCTGCATAGCATCCACGCACCCAACCGGATCCGGCCCTCCTCGTACCGAGCCTTGAGGAGTGCTGTGTCCAGCCTGGCCCGCATCGATGACTTCTTCTGTGAGAAGATCGGTTCAGGCTTCTTCTCGGAGGTCTTCAAGGTATGTGACCTCACCTGAGTCAACTGCAGCGTCAGAGTAGTCCTCTGCTGGTGTGCCCCATAATCCCCCCCGTGAAGAAGCCATGTTTCCTTCATCTTCCCACACATTCAGATAGACCGACAGTGGCTGGGGTCTGACACTTTATAGCAGGTGTGGGGAACTCCTCCAGGGCCGGTGTCCTGCAGCTTTTAGATGTGTTCTTGACCCAACACAGATGATCCACATGACCTCCTCAACATGTCTTAAAGTTCTCCAGAGGCCTGATGATGAACTAATCATGTGATTCAGGTGATATCTACAACCTGCAGGACGCCGGCCCTCCCTGCTCTGCTTTATAGCCTTTACAGATGAGTTTCCTCTGCTGAGAAAATCAGTTTGTCCTGCTTTTGTTTTTGCTAGATTTCTGCTAGCTTTAGATGTTGGAGGTGAAAGGTGTGCGGGACAGTTTATTGTCAACTAATGCAGACTGACAGGAGTTTGGAAAGTAGGATGGCATTTATTGTATTAATAGATGTTTCTGAAGTAGAATTTTCCTGCACGTGAATTTTTGATTCTCTGAGCACACGTTTTAATAAGACTTTGCAAAAAGACCACATTTGGAGAGTTGAGGGTTTAGCAGTGACACGATTCGTTTTGTCACTCACAGACTTTATTCACAGTAGAACACAGAAAAGAAATACAACTTTTAAACTAAGAAAACGGACCATTTAAGGAAAATATTAGCCCGTTTGTAATTTGATGGCAGCTGTACAGCTCAAACTCTTGGGACAGGGCTGTGATTCCCCCTGTGCAGCATCCCCCTCTATTCTCCGAGAGAAGGTTCAAGTCTGGGACCAGACTAGTACCTGGATGTTTGGGAGAGGACTATGGGCCCGCTGTCTAATAGAGGATTGTAGCTGCTCAATAGTCCTGGGTCGTCTTTATTGTATTTTTCTGTTTTCCATTGCTCGGTGACAGCTGGAGAGCCGACAGGTCAGTGCACCATCTTGACTCTTGTACTACGAAGCTGTGCTGTTGCCATAGATACAGCCAGTTGCTCCCCCGGATCATTTTTAGCCTTTTAGTTTAGTTTTAGGTGATTTTCAGTCACGTACTCTAAGTTATATTTGTTTATTAGACATCAGACAGTTAAAATGTTCTTCCTGCTGTGAGTTTGCAGTTGTTATTAATAATGCTTTGTTGTCAGCTAATAAGCTATTGATTTATTACTTATGCCATGATCCACAACCTGAAAAGAATATGTGACGGCACATAAAGCCACCCTTGGTGACAGTCATGTGTCCCTGCACTGTAGTGTTTGTGAGACTAAATGAAATATGAACTGGTGCAGGTTAACCCTCTGTACCCGGTTAGTATTCCCACAGAGCGTCCAGAACTTTGAAGGAAACACTTGAACGTATCGAATAAACCACTGAAAAGTGTTAATTTATATTTTCCATGAGGGTACGGTGGGATTTTAGATGGGCGGGGTGTAGGAGAAGTGTTCACCCCAACCGGTCGCAGCAGATGGCCCCGCCCCTCCCTGAGCCTGGTTCTGTTGGAGGTTTCTTCCTGTTAAAAGGGAGTTTTTCCTTCCCACTGTCGCCAAAGTGCTGCTCAAAGGGGGTCATATGATTGTTGGGTTTTCTCTGTATGTGTTATTGTAGGGTCGACCTTACAGTATAAAGCGCCTTGAGGCGACTGTTGTTGTGATTTGGCGCTGTGTAAATAAAACTGAATTGTATATGAGCTGAATAATAAAGTTAGTCAGTCATCAGCACAAGACCATAATAAAGAGAATGACCGTGTAGTTTGGAGCTGGCTGAACAACACATGGCTGGATGGCATGAGCTTCATCACACTCCTCCTCCACTGCTCCCTCGTCACCTCATTCTCTTCCTCCTGACCTGAGCCCTTACCTCCTTAACTGACGTCAGAGCTGTAATGAAGGAAACTGTGCATAAACATGCAGAATGATTTAGTCATGATATATTTGCAGTTATTGCCAGCAGACTAGATGTGCAACCCTTCTCTATAGAGAAAATAAAGTAGTCTCTAAAAACCTGACAGCTAGCCACCTGTGATGTGATGCTAGGACCACAGATGCAGCCCACTGTGTCTTTAAAAAGCCACACTTCCTTGTGATAAAGGGTCTGATTACACTGGCACATCCAGTGTTGGTCAAGTTACTTGAAAAAGTAATCAGTAACTAATTACTGATTACTTCCCCAAAAAAGTAATCCCTTACTTTACTGGTTACTTGAAAAAAGTAATCAGATTATCTCTGATTATCTCAGATGATGTACCCATCTCTGGGTACATCATCTGAGAGTTTACTTGCTGATGACGTCAGAGCGACGATGCTGCACCTCAAAGCTTCAGTAAGACCAGCGGTTTAGGATATCCTCGTCACCCCTTGGTTATCGTTGCAGCAGACGCTCTCTGACCTGTTTCACTGCCTCACAGACATGGATGCTTCACACTGGGCTTGTTGACAGCGGAGCTAAACAGCCTTCTGACAGGATACAAACTACAGCCAGTGTGTTTTGATTTGTCGGGGAAACATGGAAACTATTTGATGCACATATATCTGTTTTTAATCCTAATTTATGATTAAGTGTCTCTAGTCTGTGGTATACGCTTGTCGGCCAGTGGCAGTTGTTATTAGTCAACAGTGGGATACAGAAGGTTAAACAGAGCATATGTGTGTGGGCGGAGTCACAGGCCCATTTTGGCAGTTTGGTTTTGATTGATCAAAGTGTTCCTGAGAGGATTTCATTTCCTGTTGAGGAGTTTTTCCAACTTGTCCAACTCTGAGTTATTAGTGGCACCAGCTGTGCTCGAGGCACAAGCTTGGACCTGTTTTACGGCTCCAGTACCCACTCGGACCAGATTTACATCAACTGGTGGCAGTTGATCTGTGGCTATGGGAAGGGCTACCCCAATAAATTCACTGGTGACTGCAGGACACTTACCCCAGGTTTTGCCAGCGCTATCACGATATCACTGTACTTCACTCACGATACTATATTATGGCAATTTCACCTTTTTTTTAGTACAAATGATGTCGTCAAAGTTGAACTTTGACAGTATCTGTTTGATGCAACATGACAAAGTTGTGGTGTTGTCAAGTGCTGTCACTGAAACCTGGCGTCAATGTTGCCATAAGAAGGAGTCGGTCTGATATCAGTCTAACTCAAAGTTAGCAATTACATGGAACCTGTTTCAGATAGTACGAGCACCGACTGCCATCAGAGACTCTCTGACTTTTAAAAAGGGAGTTCTTCCTCCCCACAGTCATCGCAGGAGATCATCTGATTTCAGTGCTGTATGAGGGAACCATTATGAACCATTATAAACTGGTGATATACAAATGAGATTGTATTGAACTGAGGAGACAAAGGAAAACCAAACATGTGCAAAGCTTTTAAGACTTGTTTTCTTCTTCCTTTCCAGGAATAGAAAACATTATCGCAGCTATTCAGCAAACCACTCACAGCAGGTCTTCACTCCAGTGTGTTTATGTTTGTGTTAATGTTCAGAACAGCACAGATGAGTGATTCCTCACTGACGATCGCTCCTCTCTTTTTAATAAACGGGCAAAGTTTTCGTTTAAAGCCTTCATTCAGCGTAGCAGTGGACACTTAAATTAGCATGTTTCTTCATTTGGCATCATCAATTGGAAATATCTCATTAACTACTTGAGTTTTCAAATACAGGAAACAGCTGTTCCTGTGTCAGTCAGTCAGTGTTAGAGCTTTTATTTCTTTTTGACTGTACAGAAGTCAGACTGACATCTTAGCAAACTTCTCCATAGCTCCTTTTCAACAAAGACACAGTTTAACAATTTCCCAAAAGAAAAAATATTATTCGGAAATACACGAGTTAGCTTGTAAAA